GCTCACGGTTTAAAAAACTTCTATATTATGTCAAAATAAATTCGCCAAATGCTTATTTTTAAAGTGTATGACATATATGGATAATAATTATGCAACTTTAGTGTCGTCGACTTTTAGAATGGTGTAATTAAATTAAATATGGGTACAATATGTTACCCACGCTGTTAATAAGCAGAACAATGGATGTTACGATTACGTTTCCGAGAATTAACAATAGAACGTGTTTTAGCTATTCCACACGAGATTAAAGGTCACACAGATTGTATAAATTTGACCCGAGACCCGGACACTACGAGATAAAATGAACAATACTATTTAAATAACTCTGTAAAATATGTTAAGATCTAACCATATTTACTAATTATACGCCCTTAATTGGACAGCTTTGGTCAATAGGTTATTTTTTCGCAGAGTAACCCCACGATTTGATTGGTTTCTCAAATTATACGCCCTCCCCGCCCTTTCCTCCTCTCCCTTCCCAATTAAACTGGCTTATTATAACAAGACGCCAACGTTTTCCTGTTTATCTCATTACATACCATTGTTTATTGTAATAAAAATATGTCCAATGGCTTCTATCTTAATATTAAGTTTATGTATCCACAAGCCTATGGAAAAAGTACTTGTAATGTAAATCGTAAATTGTAGGTCACAGGGCGGAAGAGGCGACGTTTGGGTGACGAAATGTGGCACGCACTATCAACCTTATTGCGAGATCAAATGATCACGTCTCGTGTTTCTTTGCCGGTGTTTAGTGAACAGTATCATGTTATATGATGACTTTTATGCATATTACATCTTTACATTCACTTTTTACATCACAGTAGTCGTGTGATCGGCTGCTTTTATCTTCAGTGGAAATTCCAGGCCAAATATTGACGTAATATTGTACTATGTCAAAGAAACTCTCAAGTCAAATCCTGATGTAAATTTGTATAAAATTAATGAATCATTTCGATTGTTGGCTTCATTATTTATGGGAAAATTCAACAAAATAATCATCTTAAAGATCGATTGGTGGCTTCTGCCATAGGACGGTACTGGACATCATGATCATAGGTCCTATGTTTTAATCTAGATCCAAGAATCGAACTTGATGTAGTTCTTTCGCAAGAATTTATGTTAATGAGTCCAGGACACGGTATTTGGGCGTGATTTACGATATACAAACATTGTTTCATGTTATGCAAACTTGTTATTGTCAAAAAACCTAGAAACACTTGAGAAAACCCTATCGGCTAGAATTACTTATCCTTAAAAGAGAAACATATTTGCTTTGGGATTTAATCCATGTCTTGAAAAAATCCATCGTCAAATATCACCTTGTTCCAGAAGGTGTGTGAAGTTAGTCAATGCACGAGAATGTTGGAATGAGAGACAGTTTATTCTTAGAAAATAGTTATAGTTGATTGATCCAGACAATGACGTATAAACTGTAAATACTAAAAGTTCGGTTAGTGTCAAGTTAAATTTAATATTTATCAACAATGATGACTCCCGTCGTGATCGTCTCGTGAAAGAGACAATAGAGACACAGGAATGACGAATACTAAATCGATAAGAGCGTAGGCACAGTGCAGACTTGTGCCGTCACATCAATCAACGCCCACGCTCGACCATATAATACAAACACAAACACTTGAGGCTCGAGCAGATCTCCACGAAGTCCGAGCGAACATTGTTGCAAATTTGCAAAGGTCGGCACGGCACACACAGGAGCGACGAGCCCGAGCCTCACTGACATTGCGTACAGTCAGGCATTCCACACGGAATGCGGTCGCTCCACCGGCCGCTGGGCCGCTGACGCGCACCGCCCCGCACCGACGCCGCTCTCTTCATGTTTTCTTATCCATTAGCTTCCGTACACCATATGGATAGGTAGGATAACATTAAATCCAATAAGAATCTCGTCTGTTACGTCGCACAACAAAGTCAACTTTAAATTCTCAAGTTTTTAATCTAACATATGTACGTTATGAAACAGGCACTCCTATCGATGGATAATTGTTTTATAAACAAGACAAAAAGAAAGATTAAAATAAATATCATATCGCTTCTAAGAAGGGCGGGTGATGCACCGGCTAGGAATGGAAAATTTTTGCAAGCGGTCAGGATACGGCGTTCTCCGACAACGTTCCAGAGCGTATCGCCGAGACGAGCGCCACGTCGCGGCGGCCCGACGTCCCGTCCATCATTCGCTGAATGGAGAATTTCACTTACCTTCGTAGAAAAGCCGTCGATTATAAATATCCTCCGACTCCAGCGCACAGATAATCCGGTTATCGTTTGTACGGCACAAATATACACCACACCAAAACGACAACATAAATAAACGCGGGAGGAGCGACCGAACCGGCGAAAGAAAGCTCAAAGGCTTAGCACTGCTTGCACAGGTCGAAATGCAACTTGAAAAATGCACGGGGCGGGGTTGTCGATTGTCATAAATGGTCGGTTCCAGAGGTCGGGCACTCGGCGGTGCAAATGTTGCAATATCACACAAACGCTCGCATCAAAGTGGCGGAGCGGACTGAGTGAGCGGGGGGACCTCGGGCCGAGCCGGCGGCGTCGGAGAGGAGTGGGGGCGCAGGGGGCGCGCCGGGCCGCCGCCGCCGCGCCGTGCCGACGTGGCCGCCGCCACCCGCCGCCCGCCGCCCGCCACCGCTTAGCAACGCTCCGTTCGCTCAGCTGCCAGAAGGATCTATCATAAATTGGCGACTGCACTAATGCTTTCATGAATATGGAAACATACATATCTCCATGATAATCTCAATATAACAACCTAACTTAACATACCCTTTTTACAACTTGAAAAATAAAAGAATAAAGACATATTAACATTTACTTGATAGCATGTCAGTAAATGAACAAAACATGGTTTATTTTATTCGTTGGGTGCTCGGTGCTTTAAGTTTTATAGATTGTATTAATTATACATATCTTACCTACTTAGTTTCGTTTTGCTCTGTCAGATTCAATCATTGACACCTCGTATGACCCAAGGGTGTCTTACCTCTTACGTTCTCTTTCCAAAAACAAATACAATATGTTAATGACGTGTTGCGGCAATGAAAAGTGATGGTTATACGGAAACGTCCGAATTTTATTCTAATAAAACGTTGCAAAAGTTAAAAACCTATAATAAATCGTGTAGCATTGTTGTTTGTTGTGCAGCTAGTAGGCGGAATGCGCACTCAATTCCTGTTGCATCCTACAATTAGTGCACTTTCATTCCCATTGTTAGCGTGATCAAATCAGTTTTACTGTCTCGATCGAATCAGATTAGTGGGTGGCGGCGTATAGCATTGTGTAGCACCACACATTGCGGTTGTTCTTATTCGATTTATTAACTGATAAAGTAAACTCGTTGATAGATTATTTTTTTTATATTAGAACCTGATAACCAACTAAACGAAAAGAACAGCTCTTTAAACCCGCTGTTTTTAAAAAAAAACCGTGCGTTGTCTCATTGCGAATAAAATGTTATAAAAAATCATTGTTCCATGTTTTATAAATTTATCACTGCATATTCTTAATCCAAACCAATGCAATATTTAATTTTTACTTTTACTTTCTGACATTATCATTGCCAGTTAGGTTTTTTTTCGTTTAGTGACTAAAATATTTCTTACTAAATAAATGGGAATATTTGAATGGATGGTTGTTTTTTATTCCCATAATGGCTGGATCTGGATTAAATTTGGAGTATGTGTGTAGAACACTGTTTGGAAGACCACACATACTACTAACAGTTTTTTTTAAATCCTCACGGAGTCACAGTCAAAACCTAGTATTGAGAACGTAATTTATAAATTAATTGTACATAACAATAACAAGAGAATGTAAAAATAGTTGCCAATAATGCAGCGTCTTGCAGTTTGCATAATAGAGGCGTCGCGTCGGAGGCTCTCGTCGATCTCCGTACTTTCACCTGTGGAGTTCACCTACCTGCTGCCTATACCTTGCACTAGCACGCAATATCCGACACATTTCGCACGTCTTGATATAAATATTGGAGAAAAACGCTACCAAAACCATTGTAAAATCGAATTAGGACCGGTTATTATAATTTATTTATAAATAATAACTTACTCGCGTAACATTTCCGAACTTTTCTACCTACATTTGTATACTTTCAAAAGTAATTTGTCATACACATACGGTATGGCAATTTAATTCCCTTACCTTTCTTCAACTTGTGCATTATCAATTATTTTTTCTTTCCATTTTATTGGCTCCCAAAGTCCAACTGGATCTCTTTAAAAATTCCTTCCAGAACCTTCTTTGAGAAATAAAATGAAACTTGTGGTGGAATAGTGAGATTATTACTTTAATATTTTCCAAAAACACGAGATCACAGTCTAGGATTTAATTCCAAGGTTGCCTTAATTATTTTATAACTTATGAAATAAATCTTAATCAATAAACAACATAATATGATTTTTATTCAAATGTAATCTTAAAATAGATGCTAAAACATATTTTAAACAACGTAAAACTTAGAAGAGAGATAATAACGTATCAATTTTTGCATTACTTTAACACTAAAGAAAATAAGTCATAGCTTTGTGCCTTAAAAGATAAAAACAAAGATTTGTTTTAAAAAAATTTACAAATGCAGTGGGATCAATAATAACATGAACAAAGGAGATCATTGCTTTTTGTATGGTATTCAGGCCTGTACAAAAAAAATGTGTAAATTACAATGGTAATTACATAGAAGAAAAAAAGCAAATCTCGCGTTTGACAGTTAAGTGACGTTTTAGACATTCCCAAAGATCTGTGCATCTCGACGTTAGCCGCCATATCTACGTGTCAACTACAATATGAATAAATGTATCGCGTTTTACTTAAAAGGGGCAGTCAAACATTATGTTTGCCCCTTTTAAATGTTTTTATAAAGCATATTTAATTGGTGGCCATTACGTGGGCCCAAAAAATGATCTCCTTTTACATACCATTAACACTACAGTTTAAAATGTGGTTATTTATTGTTTTCTCTACTTTTTTTTTTGTTTATTTGATTATACTGTCAACATTTAGATTACATAGCGGATTTCTATCTAAAAAGCGATTTGATGTAAAAATTGACAAAAAGTCAGCATTCTTCCAGATTATTTAAATACTACAGATGGGAATAATTACAAGATTTTTTTTAATTAAGAAATGCTTATAGCCACGGGTGCCATGCGGGGTCCATCCGGCAGAGGTTGTCGTGGCTGTTGGCGGCGGTGACCAGGGTGGCCACTTTGCTGTCGGGACCGTCGAACAGCGCCAGCGAGTTCAGTCGGTTCATAATAACTGTTACTGCTTTGTTGACCATGTTCACTATCGTCTCGTTGTCCATCTCTACTGGTTTGGTGTCAGTAGAGGTGCCCGCAGTCAGCCCCGGCTTGTCCTCCAATCGCTTCCTGTACCCAGTCATCATCTCGTCGCGCAGTATCGTGCGTAAAATCGATTGAATCTGAACAAAACAATTAGCGATGTTTAAACTTGTGCGGTGCATCGGGAACCGGTCCGACAACAGTTTTAGTCAAGTTTTATCCTTGTGGAAGGTCAAGGAAGTTTATATCTAAACATTCAAATGAGTTGAAAAAGAAGTTGCAACAATGTTTATGTTTAACCCTATGAGTGCTTTATCGATCGCTCGGAGCCGATTGCGTCAATTGATTCGGCGAAGTTATAAAAATAACGTGTTCTAAACAATTCGGATTTTAACAAGATATAAAATAATAAACAAATTTGATTTAAAAGGATAAAAAGAGTTTAAAAGATATTTCTAAGGATTATTATATAAAGTAATAGGTGATTTTAGGTAATCATAATAAATTACTTTAAAATTGGGTGTGACGAGGCAGCGAGCGACGGCGATGGCGGAGGCGGTGAGCGGGCCGGTGATGCCGATGTTGGTCAGCAGCTCGGAGATGTTCGGCGTCAGCCGGAACGGCACCGGACGGTTGCCGTCCAGTTCTCCTACACACACAAACACATTTATTTCCCTCGAACAAACCTTTAATCAACGACCCAAAAATGTACACCACGAGCTGTTCTAGTGCGGTATCATCCGCATGAAATTATAATAACTTCATTGTACTGTTTACATTTGTCAAATTTTCAATTGCAAATGTCAAAATACTAATGCATAAATGACAACGAAAGCCTTTGACATTGGATAACATTTACCGTTACCATAGCAACCTTGCTTCCTTGATGTTGTCAGCTTGTAGTTTATGGTCTTTTTCCCACAAGAAGGTTTTTTTCCTTGTGTTTACCCCCTTAGAGTATTAGTGTGAAAACATATAGCCTAAACCATGTCGTAAGGCAGGGTTTTTATTAAAGAGATAATTATTCAAAAATATGCTGTGATTGCCGACATCCTACGTCACAAAGTAGGGCATGTTTACGCTATCTGCATGAAGTATAGATAGATATAGATTAGTTAGGGATACCGTCCTTACCTGTAGTATCATCGACATCGAACTTGTAGTAAGCCACGTTGAGCAGGCCGGAGTCCTGGTGCACGTACATCATGTCGGGGCTGAGGCGCGTGAGGTGCAGCACGTACTCCGCGAAGGCCGCCAGCGAGAGCTGCAGCGTCAGCATCTTGCGGAACGTCCAGTAGTCGGTGGGCGCGGCGAAGGTCGCCGCCGCCCACTCGCGCACCATGCCCTTCGGCACCATGGTCGCTTGCACCTGGTTACAAATTATTCTTGTTTCAAGTATTTTAAACCTACCTAACCCAAAACCCAAATACGAACTTAGAAATAAAATATTAATTTTCAATTTAAGTTTAATTGAATCTTTGAAAGAATTAACAATAGGGGTATAAAGCTAAGATTTCAAGTCTCAAAAAAAGTAGTCAAGCGTCAAGGAAATCTACATAAGACACCTAATTCAAATGACTTTACTTCGTCCTTAGAAAACTCGTTGAGGTGGCCTTTAAATCTGCACTGGTCATAATTTTTGTTAATTTCGCAAAAACAACTTTTTGTCTCTGATTGCATATGGATTTATTCCACAACTATTTCTCCTGCATTTGTTCAGTTAGATGGAAGAAATAAACAAGACTATTATCCGAGTGGTATCTAGTAAATAGTAAATAACAACATGCGAACTAAAAATTGCCATAGATAAGGAAAATATCCGCCATCATTTATATTATTTCTCATATCTATGCTTCTATACTAATATTATAAAGAGGAAAGATTTGTATTTCTGTAAGTATTACAATTACTCAAAAACTACTGGGCTGGTTTTAAAACTTCTATCACCTAAAGAAAGTTAATTTATATGTAAGTAATATAGGCTATGTATTTTAATTTCACGGAGACGAAGTAGCGAGGAACAGCTAGTTGTACATATTTTGCTCAGATGTTTCAACGCCAGAAAGGCATATTAGAATCGTTTTTTTCTATGAACCTTTATATTCAATAATTACTAAGCATCCATGTTTGTATTATCCGACTCGAGATGTCTCCTTTATAACCTTAACAAACCTGTTATTTACGAGCAGGTTTTCGCTAGATGTAGTAAATTTACTAATTAGCATTAAGAGTTATTATTATAGAGTTGCTAAGTGAATAAACGACTTTCCTACATGTATATTTATTGCAAATAATTTATAATGTTTTTATCTATACATAGAGCAGAGATTGCGTCAATAAACTAGAATTAACCAATACCACGGTATGTTGGTGTGACATTTCTAGGTTTCACATATTTTAGTTGTATATTATATGCCTCTGGAAAACATACAGCATTGCTTATGAAGATGCGTTATATACTTAGCTTGAATTTCGCGGTCATTCGTCGTTGACAGG